GGAAAACACCGCCACGAGAAGGCGGTGAGTAGGGCTTCCTTAGCAGAGGCTACATGAGATGGTCGTATGGGAGCATTTCTCGAGGTGCGAGGGAAGGGTGATCAGCGGCAACCCAAGACACCCACCCCCGACCATTCAGAGGATTTCGGAGGTCTATATCTCTACCTGCCTGTTACCTCGCGCTTGTCGCAAAAGGTTGACCCTTATCATAAAGAGAGACGGCGACACCTGTCTCGTTTTGCTGCCGCTCGGAAACTGTGGTGCTTTCGAGATCCAAACTGCGGTTTTCCACGTGCCGGTACCCGGACCCCTAACTAGTTGCTCTTTCGCACTCAATCCGGCCCCAAAATGATACTAACTCCAAGGTTTTATTAAGGGAGATAAATACAAGTTTTTCTTACCCCACATGGTTTCTCGCGTAATTGGATCGATTTACGGTTCATGCAGAGAGAGAGAAAAGGAATGTCACAAATTTTCATTGTTCCATGTACTGCTACGGACGTCAAAATGTAAGACATGACAATGTTTCATCTAGTTTTTGCCCGAAATAATCGGTTGTGCAGAAACAGCGTTAGGTGATAGAGAATTCTAAATACTGCACATTTTGAGGGACATGGTATGTTTGCTTCTTCTTATTGGTGAAATAGATCTTCGCTGATTCAATCCACGTATGCCAATGAAGTTCAACGGAGTACTTGTCTTTCACTAAACTCGGCTCCTGTCATTGCATCTCGTCACAATTTCGGGCTGATGGCCACAGTTTTTTGTGCAAATTTTTCTGCTAGAATAGGCGGGGGGTCTTTTTTTGATCAACCGTGTAGGTATTTTCACGTTCCGCGGATTTGGGGCCTGGTTAAAATCTGGATTATCATCTGTGACGGTTTTGGTTTTTACATTGTTTATTGAATTGATCCACTCGACTCTCCGTATATTACGTGATGTTTGTTTGATAGAGACTCCATTCTGTTAGTGTCTAGTGAGTTTATTGTCTCAGATAGCATTATACACTATCTGCACTGGTATGAGTGATTCATCTGTAAAAATCAAGATGATTTTGACTGATTTAAATATTGATTGCTCTCATTATCATTTTGAAAATCCCAAACGATACTATTCGTATACACGAACCTGTAGTATTAGCGTACCCGTAATGCCGGTTTGACTTTGATCAACGTGCTTTCATGTGATCGTGACGACCAAATCGTTTTCTAATCAGTTTTGTTTCCCCCCCCCCC